AGCGCGATTTTGATCATAAGAGAACGATATGGAACGAATCAATTTAATATGGAATTAGTATAGAAATATTTCTTTAAAAAATCAAAATCTTAATAACGAATCCAAATAAAATTATATCAAATCTATATTAAGATATAATCTCAAGAAAATCATCTTTGATAAAAAATCAATCGACGAAATTTCGAAGATATCTCGAGCGGGAATGCGATTTTCAAAAATCAATATATCAAAATTTCAAGACGTTCCGGACGAGACCGCAATTTTGATCAAAGCAGAACGATAAATTTCGAGGACGTCTCGAGCGAGAGCGCAATTTTCAAAAATTGATTTATCAAAATTTTCAAGATCCTATACGGGAGCGCGATTTTGATGGAGAGAGAATAATCTTGAGCGAAATAATTTCATATGGAATTAATTTTCATTTTTTCTTTAAATGATCAAATTTATGAGAAACGAAATCAAGGAATCCTATATCAAGCCTATATCAAAACGACCTCCCAAGAACCTCGCCCTTGAGAAGATAAATCAACGAAATTTGAAATCTCTCGAGCGAAAACGCGATTTTCCAAGATATCATCAAAATTTTGAAGACGCTCCGCGCGGGAGCGTAATTTTGATATTTTCATAATATCAAAAAATATTTAAAAATCAACGAAATTTTGAGGACGTCTCGCGCGAGAGCGCGATCTTTTAAAATAGCATCAAGATAATCAAAAGTGAGTCGAGGCTCAAAAAAGTCGAGGATTCGATGAAAGTGCGCAATTTTGATGATTTCATAACGTCAAAAAATCTTTAAAAATCATTAAAATTTTGAGGACGTCTCGAGCGAGAGCGCGATTTACGATGATTTTAGGAAATCGAGCGATCGTCTAATTCGTTTCGGAAACCCTCTATCTAGAGAAAAATGAAAATCATCTGACCTCCCAATATATAATATCGTAAGATACGCCGAAATGAGGACGTCTCGAATAAGAGCGCAATTCATCTATTTCAATAGACGCATCCAAAATAATGGCGCGACGGAAGATCCTTTTATGGTTATTAGGCGACGCCCATCGAAATAATTAGAAATCCGTATTATATCTGAAATCTAAAATCTATGATATGAATCAATCAATAAATGAAAAAATCAAATCAAAGAGATAAATAGAAATAGATAGAGACGCATAATCAGAGAGAGATAGATATGAAATAAATAGCCCGACGACCAAATATTCGATTTGGGATCCGAACGATTTTATAAAATTCTAAGAAATTTATCTTAAACGAAAATTTTCGAAAATTATTATAATTTTTGAGATCTGCCGATCGAGATCTCATATAAATATGCGTTTATATCTTTTTATAAAATTAAATAAATATCTCCACTACTTATGAGTTATACGATATCTAGATTCTGAAAAATTTTAGATTTAGATCTCCGTCTCCATTCCTTCAAATTCTATCCAATCATCGCATAATTTAATAAAAAGAAAGAAATGAATCGAAACCTTATCAAATTTTCGAGTACGAAATCATTTCATCATACGATATTCGGATTCAACCCGAATTTTCCATCTCATTTATATGAAAATATCTTAAAAAACTATATAAATTTCTTAAATAACGAGATTTCCTTCTCCTAAGTAGATACGATCATTCTAATAATTTATTTAAAAAAAAGAAAAATCTCTATCCCAGGTTTGTAAATTCTTCCAAAAATCCACGTCAATAATGAAAAAGAGATATATTTATTATCAAATCGCGTATATACCTCGATAAATAATCAATATTCAAAAGCGACCAATCAAATAAATTCTAAATGATTTTAGAATAATCACTACGGAGAATCTATAAATCTCCGTAAATAAATACGACCATCCTCCAAAATAAAAAAGATTTTATTATACCATCTCGATATTCCTTCCAATAATCATAGCTAAAATCGGAGATAAATAAATCATGCAGAATTTATGAATTTATACGTAGATTTCGACGAATAATCAATATAAAATATCGCACGTTCTCAAAAACGATCAACCTAATAGATTCTTCAAGATTTTAAATCTCTGCCCATACTCTGCGCCGAACCGCCACAAAAATTAATCAAAAAATCGATGTTTTTTCGGTAATCTTTCTCGAGCTATCTGCGAGGCGGCTCGGAGAATTGCCCATATCTTTCAACTAATATACTGATTCTGCATCCCAGATCTGCATTCGCCGCCGAGCAGGCGCGCAAATAGCAATCACGTAAATAGCCATCGCGTAGATAACCAAAAACATCATTCACACAAAAAAATCGCTCCGGAGACAAGAGCTACATATTCAAAAATCCCCGATTTTTTTGGATCCTCTGCCCGCCTCTATTTAATCTGAAGATCTCTAAAACCTCCGAGTATGCCAAATTAAAAATTTGAATTTCCTAGATGATCCCCAATCGATCTATCATTCTATTATTCCTGAATTCGATATTTTTGGTTGTATCAGCATCTGGTATCATCCTCGCTCGCCATGATTGCTGCCAGCCTGGCCGAAAAGTCGTTGCTATGCTTGTGCTGTGGACCAGTGCTAGCGCAGGCAGCCAAACAGATAAATCGGGACATCTTCTTCAAAGGCTGAAAGCGGTGGCGGTCCAGCCATCTGATTAAGGCTGCTTCGCTGACTTTGGGCCTAAGGATCGGACACGCCGGCAACAGAAACTGCAAGACGACTTGTGAGCGCCCAGCAAGTTAAAGAGAATGAAATCTGATGCCTGCCATCCAGAAGCAGCAGTCTGTGTGCAAGACGGCCCCACAGCAGCAGACAAGTCCTGCAGCTCTATTGCGCTCCACCGCTCTTCTGGCTCTTTGCACCTGCCAAACATCTCTGATTGAAAGATGCAAATAAGCCGAGATGCACCAAAGGCCAGCCCTTTAAGGTGACAAATTGCCAGAAACGCAATTGGACTTCGACAAAGCGGCAAAGCCTGGCCAGCAGCAGATTTCACGGCCCCAGCAAAAGCTCAGTGAGATGTGGGCCAACCGGCACAGCCAGCTGCAAACCAGTCGGCATAACTCTCGTGAGAAGCGACCCTCCTTGAGGCGAGGCTCTGGCCTGACCCAGGCTGCGCAGAGCCAATCAGAATTTCAAGCCAAACACGTAGCCTCCCAGCCTGTTGATTAGATTGTCGAAGAGAGCCGGAAATGAAGCGACGCTTCCGTACGGATAAACGCCTGCAGTGAGCGTTCATTACCAGCGTGAGTAGGTGAGTATGTGCACAAGACTCACATTTCTGAGGCCCCGTCCAGACGCTAGCTCGTAGACGCAGAGGCCCAAACTCCAAATATCGGCCGCGAAGCTGTAATCCTGGATGCCAGTAAATGGGCTCGCAAGAGTGTGCGTGGCTTGGCATCATCGGACCTTTACCTGCACATGCCTGCACTGCACCCACTAAGCCTGCGCAGTTGCTGAGGAGCTGAGCCCACTTAGGTCTGCGTGCATGGCAGATACACCGCGCACTTGGATATTTGCCCATCTGGCTTGCAAAACAACCCTTTTGCTCTAGAATAGACTTCAGTTGTCGCTCTTCAGTCGCAACCCCTGTGGCCTCTCCAGAGAGCATGCACTTTTTCCGTTGCATGCGATGAACAAACCAAACTGTGCAAGGCATAGAACGAGAGCTTGTCCAGGCTCTTTGTATATGCGCCCGCCCCATACCCTGAGCATGCGGACCAGAGTTGTTGAAAACGATTTGGTTTGCCTTTCATCTTAAAGCAAGGCGACCAATCTCCAATCAGACCTGTGTGCCTGTGACTGTGTGCCCACAAGACAAAGCATGTCAGCATATCCATCCGTCCTTTCCGTTGACGCGTTCTGGAGACATATGAGTGGCGGTGCCGACAAAAGTGTCACACACCTGACATCCACTAGCACAGAATCCATGGTTGCAGAAGCGGCGTCCCACGAATGTTGACCACTTCGATTAGAGCAAATCAGACAGTCAGACCGTAAATGAATCTCCCAGGTTTTTGGAGATGCCAAAGTCGGTTACCTGACATCATGCACAAGCGATTGGCCTCATGCTGCTGCCGAAAGTATCCAGGAATAGGCTGCAGTCCTTGACGGACCCACGAGAGTTGACCAGGATGTTGCCAAGCTTCACGTCTCAAAGCGCAGAGCAGAGATTATGATACAAGTGGTGATGTTAGTTTGCACTGTGATGCGGATACCAGATGTCTGAGAGTTTCGTGCAGAGAGGCGCCTCGATGCACAACGTTGTTGAGGTGGAGAATTTTCAGACCCTGCACAAAACTTTGCTTGCAATCCAAGACCGGCTGCCCTTCGAACTAAACGCTCAAGAGACAAGTGCCTCCAGAATCTGCATGAGGATGAGGGCCTTACCGGCGCGTTAATGCTGTTGCCAGCTAAGACAGTGTAGTATAGGTCACAGACGAGGAGATTCTCCGGAACTTCTGTAACACGCCGCTTCACATCCGCCAAGCTTCCGTAGTCCTCCCAGCTTGCACTAGCTGGCGCGACATATTTGCAAGTTGGAGAGCAGATGCAAATGCAACCAGCACCAGCTGTAAGTAGGGGGCCATGTACTCAAGGGCCACGTGAACGCAACCAGATTCCTGCGCAACTGAAAAATGCATGTCTGTTGCAGCAATGCCAACTCCCCGACTTGGCACTCTCGCTGTCCTTGTGCACGTACCTTCCAAGCGCAACAAAATTCAGTCCTACATCTGCCGTGGCATTTTGTGACAACAGCAAGGAACTCAGCTAGCCTCAAGGCAGCTGGAATCATTCCCCAGCCATTACTTGCCACACACAGAACACCAACAAGACCTACCTCCAAAATTGACTGGAGCTGCAGACAGACCGGAGGCAAGCCTTCACAATCATTTCAAGTTGGGTCGCTGTCGGAGAAGCCGTTACGGTGTTGTATCGCGCACACAGCTGACACTCACCCTGGGACCTATCTTTTCGTAAAGAACCCGAGCTGAGCTGGGCTGATATCATTCTTGGTAGCATGACAAGAAGAGCTTGACTTGCCTGTCAGTTCAACATGGAAACAAAAGGGGACAAGGGTGAAAAGTGGTAGTGTGCTGTGTCCTGCACAGCTGTGATTCTTCAACACCAGAGGGACGTTAGCCGGCCCATGTTAGGCCAATGGTCCAGGATAGCACTCCTGGTGGACCTGACCATACCAGTCCTGTTTGGCATTATGCCATGGAATGCTATGGATAGATCTGCAGCTTTCTTGACATGCATGTGCGAAAGGAACCTGTGGCAAATACCTTCTAGCTGTTCCCCCAAGGAACTGAAGATTCTGACACGACGTTTCCAATGCGCTAAAACCCCAACAAACTTCAAATCGCCTTGGTCGCTAACCTACCGCTGGCTCACGCATCGTAGAGCTCGATCAAGAAGTGACTCTTCGTAATCCGGAAGAGGGTGTGGATTTCGTTGATGAGCTGATCACGCTTCGCCTGGAGTATGACTGAGCAAGCAAGCTGCTACGAAACACGACTACATACGACAACACTTCTTCTGCACAAGGGCCTTGTCTTCCACTCTCACCACCTTGACTGCCAGCGGCATGCCTGGACGAGGGCTGACACTACCACCGCAGCAAGGAAAGCGCAGCACGGATTGACAGAGAGCTGCAAGAACAACTTGCTGTTGCTGAAGCCAACCTGTCGGTGTATGCACAGCACGGCAAACAACTCCACCGGCTCCACGCCCAAGCAAGTTTGTCTGATCCACTTCAATCTCACCGACTCCGTCCTGGCAGAGGATCTCCGGCAGCAATGCAGCAAGCTGCAGCTAGAGCTGAACCCTACCGTGCAAGACACGACGCGCACTTGAGCTTGAGTCATGAGGACAAAAAATGCATATCTAGAATCTACATACCGCGAGCAGGGTCCCGCAGACCGCCCTCACCAATGACGATATTGGTGGGGCCGTGTCTGAGTGAGCCATCCTGGACAAGGCACGTCAAAAAGCTTCACGAGCATGAAAGAATTCCTTGCCAACGGAGCTGTGACACTGCAACAGCTTATTTTTCAACATAGCTTGTGAATCTAACAGGCATAGTCCAGCTTGCCTGCTGCACTGCCCAGGATTCCAGCTGGTTGGCATCCTGCAGGTAACTGCGATCTGTCACAGAAGTCGGTCGTCGCTGTCCCTTCTAATTTGAGCCGCAGCAAAAAAAGTGGAATCGGTCGTGCTGGCTGCTAGTAAGACTTTGCAACTTCGGAGGTCTGCATCAATACAGTGCCGCGTAACCACAGTAGCTCCTGACCATCACTGTCCAGTTGCAACTGCAAGCCGCCACCAAAGTCCATGAATCAAACCTGCTACAGCTCGTCCACAACGCTTGGAGACTCTGGCAAAATCAAGTTCCGCAATCCAGAACAACCCAACTTAGCGGAGTACGATTGCAAGCATCGTCTGCTTCTGGACTTGGCCACCTGAACGCATGGGTCTTCGCTTCAAGGCATACGATGCTACTTTTGCTTGCCGACCTGACAGCCACGCACAATCAGGAGACCGGTCTCATTGCCGCAGATGCTTCAAACAGCCACTGTGTCAACTTATGTTTCGTAGGCATTGTGCTGAGCATCCACAGGATGAGATTATTGCGGCTGCACAGGCGTCATCACTGCTAGCTTCCAACTCTGCATCTTGGGCACGTCATGTTCATAAACATGTGCCCGAGTCGAGCGCCTTCTTTGCGCTTCCAGCTTAGAGCCAGATTACGCGTGTCAATCTACCGAGCATGAGAATCCACCGACTTCATGCTAGCATATGCTAGCCAGCCTTCCTCGGGAGGGGACTGAAGGTCTCAAGTAGCATGTCTGTTCCTGGCCGAGCTTTTCCCTTGGGGTCTAAGCCGGGTCTTTTTCGACCTGGAAACCACTTTGTACACGTCTGCATGATGTGTAGACATGCTGGAAGATATCAAGATATGTCAAGTAGTTCTGGCTGACACGTTGACAGATTTGGTCATCTGGATGACTGTCTACGCACTGCAGGCAAAAGCGCGCTATCTCAGGCTGCTGTCAGCCGATGTTCGTCTGTCCTTGTCCGGACTTCTTTCTGAAGTGCATTACGGGTGTTCACAGGCAGATGCAAGGAGGCTCGTTGATATCATTGGAGCAGTGGCAGATGACCCTCCAAGGCCAGCACAGCAGCCACCGGTCATTTTCTGAGGCTCGGAGAGCGCGTGTTTGCACCCCCGTCACCTACTGAAGGCGCAGCGCGGAACAGGCAAGGCAGGCTGCCATAGCTAGCCCTGCAGCAATGCCTCCACTCCTGCGATGAATCCTGGTGCTGGTACAACCGCCAGGCTGGCCTGTTGCCGAAGATGGTAGAGTCTAGTCCGATCATGCTTCAACTGGACAGTGCCTAATGGTTTGGCTGGCTAACCACTCTCCAATCATATCCTATCCAACCGTAGGAAAGGCCTCCAAGTCGGCGGACGGGACGGGCCTGCTGAGACAAGGTCTTTGATACACGAAATGCAGCCTCGCGAAAGGCCTTGGGTCATGGGCTGTCTCCACTTTGTCTGGGAGTCTTCCTCTGCCCTGGCCACTGAGTGGGATGATCTTAGCTCAGTAGAACCAAGCTGCATGCCAGGAAGACGGCCGTACCACCTTGAGAAACCTCCAGTAGAGCCATTCACGGCAAATTGCGTAGACAAAGCTGTGGGGATCTAGTTTATCAAGCTTTTGTCTGGCCCAGTTTGCCTTCAGCAAGTCCGCTTGTTGGCTTCATTGAAGGCAATCCCGAATCCCGGTTCTGGACTTCCGCTGCTTATGCAAAGTTCGGCACACACATGCAGGTGCATGCACAGCTACAGCTGAAGAGCAAGCGCCCAACGGAGGCATGGTCTTGTACCGCGAGAAAGCCGTTGCGTAGTCAAGGAATGTCAGGTCCTATACAGCTTCAGGGTCATGTCTTCCTCTTCAGCTTGCTACAGAGCAGTTGCAAACCAGCTATTCAACGCAGGCCTTGTCTAAAGCAAACCAGCTTGTGGCGTCAGCATGTGCACCAGCCAACGCCACCAATGATTCCTGGACATGCAATGCAGATGGTGGAATTTGGAGGCTCAAATTGAAAGCAGCCGAAGCAGCAGCAGCTGATGTGCCTTGGGATCTGGGCTTACATCTTCAGGCATGAATGCCCAAACCTGATGCTCCAGGCCTCACAGCTTAAAGCACCTAGCCAGCAAACTGGGCAAAAACAGAAATAAGCCCATCGCCTATACTGACACTCTTGTACTTGTTAGCCAACTCTGCAACCTGAAGATTCTTGGCGACGAATCTGAAAGCATGACCAGCATCACTCGCCTGCACGACGCGCTGGCCCGAAAGGGATTTCCCCAACCTCATGCAGTCAAGAAGCCCAAAACACACATACATCAAAGTGCAGTACAAAAAGCGCCGTGCTTGGAGCAAGCTTCTTGAACTTTTGCCAGGAAATCCCGGAGGGTGTCGTTCAGAAACACCTTGGCTTTCACGACGCGCGGAAAGCGGCAACCGGAAGATTTCCCGGTGAGCCAGGTGAGTGCCTTGACACCATGGCCTCCGCCATCCAACGCTGTTTCCAACGCCTATGGGAAGGACAAGAATTATTGTTGCTAGATTTTACCAGTATCATTATCCATATTATTACTATGACTAATACTATTATTGTTGTTACCCTGCTTTCATTCACTGGTCAGAGGCTGGGGCCAGTCTCGGGGTCTTAGGGCCACCTGGGAGTATGCTGTAGAAACAAAAGAGACATGCTGCTGCACAGTGCCCTGCCTGCTTGATTCAGGAGCTCTCCGAACAGAACGGGCCTGTCACAGGCAACTGAATGAATTAGGGTCATATCCAGATTCCGTTGCACACAGAAGAGCACCAGCCAGGCGCACAGCCCTTTGTCCTTCATAGAACTTTGTGAAGTGGGACTGCCGGAAGATACACTGCATTCCTAAGTGACAAACAGATGCTAAGCTCTGACTCGATAAGGCTTTGCTGCGCATGTACGAGCACAAGATTTCACTTGTGCATCAATAGTTGCTCTAGAGCACATGGATCCCAGGTAGAAACCAGGTAGGATGTCATGACGACAGTGACAACTCCACACTGAACATTCCCTAGCCATGCATAGCCATGCTACCATGTTGTGACAGGGAATACGGGAATATAATCGCTATGTAGCCCCTATAACATTCAAATATTCCCTACCAAGTCCCGGTAAGATGAGCAGTGCGGCACTCTGCCTATCTATGCCAAGCTCCGCACCACGACAACATCTAGAGCCAAGGCGTCCGCCTTTCCTTGAAACGAGACCAGGCTGCAGAGACTGGAGGGAGTATAGTATACCATAGTCGGAAGACAAGAATATAATAGATATACTATATCATAGTATGTTATAGTATAACTTATCTCTAATCAATGTAGACTTCACAATGCAAAGAGCTGAAGGTCTTAGCAACAAAGGGTGCAAGGCAAAGGTGCGAGCCTGTGCTTCCCAATAGGCCAACAATGGATCCCATCAGCGGGCTCCTGCGATGTCCCAAGACGAGGCTAGCAGAGAGAAACAGAGATACCGAAAGCTTGAAAGATGAAAAACTGAAAGAGGAAGGGAGAGGGAGAGGAGAGGAAGCGCTACTCAAAAAAGGGGCTTGCCCAGATGCTCCGTTTCCTGAAAGGTTTAGCTTGATCAAAAAATTCAGACTATGAACATCGAGGTTGCCGGTGTACACGCCTCGTCCTTCGGAAGCCGTCTTGGATCAAATCAGCTTGCTCAGCAAAGCCTGGAGTGTAGGATACGCAGACTCACGTACAAGTAGACTGGCGTGAATATGCCACCAGGGTCCTTGAGCCGCTGGAGCTTCTGCCGGCGCATGCTCCAGAACCTGAGCTGCAAGAATGTGAACAACTTTTTTGACGAGGTTACGAGACCAAGTTCCAAGCCACTCCTTTCTCCGTGCTGCTTGTCTGAAGTATGGAGGCCTTCTCCGGTTGTGGGAAAGCCTGACTGACTGGCAGCTGAAGCATCCCATTATTTTGCCCAATGCAATCTCAGGTCCTCAGGTTGTCACGTGCATCGCCTTGCATCGAAGCGGCTCACTCATCATCGAGCAAGCCTGTATGCATGAGATAAACCTGAGTGTTGGACGCAGCTAGATCACGCAGCAAAAGTGGGCACACGATGCAAGATGAGGCTGAAACTCCTTCTTGTTCAATGCATGCGACTCATAGGATGACGAGTCCATTGAAATCTGTCACGCGTGCGGTGCATGCAAAGGCTCTGCCTTGCAACTAGCTATGTGCAGCACCTGGTTTGGGCTGAACCGACCATCTTTTTCAACCAGGAGGATGACTTGGAGCCGCTCGCCATCTCCTGACCCTGATAGGCAGCTCAACACAAGAAGCTAGTCTTGCCGCAAGCGTATAACTCCTTGCGGGAGAAGGTAGGAATCTGAGCTGAGAGCGGACATATCGCAGAGCCAGCAGTTTCTCAGACCACGGAAATGGATCTGGCAACTCCCTGGGGGAGTTCATGATGGATAAGACCAGAAACAAGTTGCAAGGGAAGCGCAATCACGAAGACAAGGACTGACTGCCAAGGCTTCGACAGGGCTTGAAGAGAAGTCGCATCACTTTCCGGGAATTCGAAAAGGTTGAGACTACCAGAGCCTGCAGTCGAAAAGCTGTGCATGGGACACGAGGGCTGCTTGCATCAGCACGAGTGTCAGACAAGAACTAAGCCCCGCACTCTCAAACATCTGCTTGTCTGCCTCAAGTGTCATAGCGGCACTGACGTCCACGTATGATCTTCCTGCACAGGTCGGGTCCTTCGACGTGTTCAGCATGAACGTACGATACGTACGGAGTTGTCCATCACAGCATGGAATTTCTGGGCGCGCGGCCCTGTTGGTCGCAGTACTGCCGAGAAATGCCACATGGGGGTATGTCCTCAAGACAAGGTGCAGGCTGCAGGCTCCTCCGAGGCATCTGCACGATTCTGCACGCGCCCACGTGCACTGCCTGGCCCTCAACCAGAAGGGCTTCCAGGATGGCAGTGCAAACACCTTCTCCTGCACGACATAAGCTGCTCCGAACTTAAGCTGGCAGTCCGCAGCGGAGGGTGCAGTTCAGGCCCTCACTGTGGAAGCAGCAATCAGCAGTCTGCGCCACTTGGCGAGTTGAGAGGTATGCACAGCCCCTCCTGCACACCAATGGGTGAAGCTGTGACAAATGTTGAAAGACTGCCACATGGTCCTGAGCAGCACGTCAGCGATCAGCCGGCAGCTCTGCAAAGTCACGACCTGGATGCACATCGAGAC